GTTGAACCCGCCCTCCCTGACTCGCTGGACTGGGACCCCCCATCCGTTCACCGTTCTCACCCCTACATCTCAGGTGTAGCCAGGGCATTTAACAGAGCAGCATCGCCCGTGCTGACAGCAGCTTTCCCATCCCCTGCAGCACGATGCTCAGATGGATTACTATGGCACCCGGTTGGCGACCTGCTCTTCAGACAGATCCGTGAAGATCTTCGATGTTCGGAACGGGGGGCAGATCCTCATTGCGGACCTGAGAGGGTAAAGTGTCGGAAAGGGGAGATTCTAACTGTGGAAGTGTTTAATGTTTTGTCATTTTGCTGTTTGGTAACATAAGATGAGGGTAAATTCCTCCAAGTTAATAATGACTCTGGTGGTTGCTGCTGAATAAAAGACAGTCAGGCAGTAACGTTGTTGGTTGCAGGCATGAAGGTCCCGTGTGGCAGGTTGCCTGGGCTCACCCGATGTACGGAAATATCCTGGCCTCCTGCTCCTACGACAGGAAGGTTATTGTCTGGAAGGAGGAGAATGGCACTTGGGAAAAGACCTATGAGTACACGGGGCATGACTCCTCAGGTATGCGGGGTCTGGAGCTGGGAGTGAGACTGGGGATGTGAGAGGAGTTGGGTGAGATTGTAATAAATCTGTTGGTGTTAAGGAGGTAAGTCTCTGTCAATGAGGATAAATTAGTGGAGAGACAGTAAATCTGTTCCATGTACACAGGACATTTATGTCAGGTCCTCGATGTACAGATCTGAGAAGCCTCCAGCTTTGTCGTGTTACTGATCCAGACTCCAAGTACTGCTTGCCAGTCAGCTCTTGTTCTGGAGTCAGCAGTGTTCTTTGCTGTTGCAGGGGATTGTCAGAGTCCTCAGTCTCTCATTAAAGTGCTCTTTTGATGTTCTAATTCTAAAAGGGTGCCAAAAAAAAGGCAGTTTTCTATCATTCAGTAAAATTCATTGACTGGTTTTGCTGAAATTCGGGAATGCCAAGACACTTATTCCTAGCTCTCGAAGCTGCTCACTTTTAGTACCCGTAATCTTAGCATATTGGGTAGTCATTTTGAGGTAGTGACCATGGTGTAATCCTGCCTCTCCCTTCCCAGTGAACTCTGTCTGCTGGGCGCCGCATGACTACGGGTTGATCCTGGCCTGCGGGAGCTCTGATGGGGCCATCTCCTTACTGAGCTACACGGGCGACGGGCAGTGGGAGGTCAAAAAGATCAGCAACGCACACACGGTGAGTCTGTCCCTTTGAGCAGCACAGAGCCCTTGGAGCTACACATGAACACTGAGCTGAGGCCTCAAAAAAACTGTAGAGTAGATAAGTACTGAACCACAGTGAAATGATGTGAAACAGTTTCTGGAACTGGGATAACTTGTTTTAAATCCAATATGTTGGATTAATTTAAACGATATAGTCACTAAAATGACCAATTAAAGGTATACAATGTAATCACTAAAATGAAGTAGAAAACCAGATGTGTGAAGGTTACTGAACAGCACTGATAATTGTTAAACACAGTGCTGGAAGTTACTTGGTGGGAAATGGCTTTGGTCCTAGGAACACCTGTACCAACTAACTGTGAATAAACTGGAGCTGGAAAAATGCAGGGCTCATGCTTTTCCCAAAATAGTGGGGATCTTTGCTTAAGCAGAAATTATAAGCTGATGGCAGCAGCTCTCAATAAAGGGAAATGGGGCTCCAGACTAAAGGTTCTTGTATTCCTGAATCTTGGCAACTGTGTGTCTGGTGTCTTTCCAGTTTCTGTCTCTAGGCCCACTGTTTATACATCCAAGATGACATTTGCACATAGAACAGTTACTCGGTGACCTAAGGGGTTCTGAGTAAGTGCCTGGCTGAGATAGGCCATATCTGGATCTCTTGTTCATCCAGTATCCATCCAACATTGTGCAAGACTCCTGCTTTCTTAAGATGGGCTTGTTTCCCCCCAGTAGAGAATATGTGAGGTGTCCTTCGCCCCCTCAGCAGCTTTTTTTTATGTGTTTAAAGTAAACGACTGCTAATAGAGGTATTTTTTCATTAACCAGATTGGATGTAATGCAGTAAGCTGGGCTCCTGCTGTTGTCCCGGGAAGCCTTATAGAACAACCGTCTGGTCAGAAACCAAACTACATCAAAAGATTTGCCTCTGGTGGCTGTGACAACCTTGTCAAGATCTGGAAGTAAGTGCTCTGTTGCCAGGCTTAAGACCTTACAAACATGATGCTCTGTATAGTCTCTGCAAGTCCCTGATAGTATCTCAAGATTTTCAGCATCTTTGTGCTTTCATCTTTTACCATCTTAGAGAAGTGATTTAAAATTAGAAACAACTTAATGATGTGCAGTCTCTCACATGGTTACAGCAATTTGTGTCAGCCCTGCTTCATCTTGACTTGGAAAGTGGCTTTCTGATTGTCTTTGATTACTGCTGTCACTTGGGCAATAGCAGATTTCTGTGCGGTAACTGAAGATCAAACACCCTGCTTGGGCTGCTTTCTGTCCTCTGGAAGGGATTTTGTCTGCTTAAGCCGTAGAGCTTTTGGAGGAGAGTGGGGAACACTTGTGCTTTGTATTATCTGGATAAACCTGGAGTCTGAAAACCAAAGCCTTCCAGAGCAGGAGATGAGGAATGTGATGGCTGCTGCCACCCTCCTGACTGTGTAGGTGTGCTTTCAGGGAGGAAGATGGCCAGTGGAAAGAAGAGCAGAAGCTGGAGGCTCACAGTGACTGGGTTCGAGATGTAGCCTGGGCTCCCTCCATAGGTTTGCCCACAAGCACCATTGCTAGCTGCTCACAGGTGAGGCTTCCCTTGGGGTGACAGAGGCAGGCTCAGGCCCTTGCTCCCAGTTACTTCAGTGGAACAGGTCCTCTGGACAATCCTTTGCTGTTATCTGGGTCTCTGCACAAGAGCCTTTGGGTTCTTTTCCTCCCAGACTCAGAAGCCCAGTAGAAGCATTTCTGTTTGTTTGTTTGGCTCTGTACCAAAGACTGGTTTTTATTCTGAAGATCATGAGCAGGATGGTCTCACATTGAGGAAGACCTTCAAACTAACATCATATTTTAATGTCGCTGGATCAAAATCACTGAGCTTCCAGATAAAAATACTGTTTTCTAATAACTGGCATTCTTAATCAGCTCTGATGTCCTCAACCTTCACCTTGACTGTAGTGTTCTTGCTGCTAATCATTCTGTAAATGCTTTTTTCATACCAAGAAGACTACTCAGTAAGCTGCTAACTTGCTGTCATGTGTCTGGAAAGAAAAATCCATGATGGGGGAAAAAAGTCAGCTGGTACATAGGTATTTTGGGAGCTCTTCTGGTATTTTCAGCTCATCTTGGGTATGCAGCTTTCTCACCAGAGTGCTGTGCTCCTGTTTTGCTTGTAGCTGTAGTAAGAAATTAGCCCCTTTGTTGAGCAAAAATCAAAATCCCTGAAGACACATTGGGGGCGCATATTGGCACTGTGGGTTGGTGGTGTAGCTCCAAGTGCCATTGAGGTGGGGCCTTCTGTGTTGTACATGGTGGTCCCACCAGCCTGGTCTGCTTCTGCAGGATGGCAGAGTGTTCATCTGGACGTGTGACGATGCCTCTGGGAATTCCTGGTCACCGAAGCTGCTGCACAAGTTCAATGATGTTGTCTGGCACGTGAGTTGGTCCATTACTGCCAACATCCTTGCAGTGTCTGGAGGAGACAATAAGGTGAGTACCTCTGCCTTGGCTTGTGCTCCCGTGTGCTGTGTTTTCAGAAGAGCTGAGACAGGCTATTGTCGCTTCTGGTTAAGACAGGACTTTGCTGCAAGGGTGGCATTTTTTCTTTTGATTTACCAAGACGGGGGGAAGACCCTGACCTTCAGCAAACCACTTGTGCTGCGTTGTTAGTCCTTAAATGAAGGCTTCACTTCATTTGGAAGGGTATTAACAGCAGAAGTCACGTACTCTCCCTTTACCACTGGACGATTACTCAGTAGACAGCAACAAAAAACTGATACTTAGAACAGTGCTGCAGCGCTTGGTTTCTGTAGCTGTAGACTGTCACCAAGGTAGTGCTGTGGTGGTTGTGAGGAACTAGGAAACAGACTGAATTTTAAGGCTGAAACTTCTTCCTGGTCTGATTTTGAGGTGACGCTGTGGAAGGAGTCCGTGGATGGACTGTGGGCGTGCATCAGCGATGTCAACAAGGGCCAAGGCGGCGTGTCTGCCGTTGCAGAGGGGCAGCAGAACGAGCAGTGATGCACGAACGTTCCAGCTGCAGCACGTGGTCGCTCTGATCCACACCGTTTCTTGAACCGGATGAGAACTGATTTTATCTAAACTGGACATGAACATGGGAAACAATTACCTGATTTTAGGAGCACTCTGTAACTATTCCTGGGAGGCTACAATATGTTGATAATCAGCCTTAATTGACATTCCCTTAAATTTAAGGTAAAGAGCATAGCAAAGTACTGTGCCTTATACTACTCCTTGATGCTGTAGAAGCTGTACCTTGCTTTTTGGGTTTAGGGATGAGGTTTAAGTGGATGTGCTGGTGTCAGGCTTCAAGCTCCTGGGCAGGAACAGGAGGCGGCTCTCAAGAGTGGTGAGGTGCAAACTCCTTTGTGCAGGGGGACAAATACTTTGTCCCTGCAGAGGCCAGAGCTTTACTTCAGGTGAGGGAAGGGCTGGTGGAATTCTCAGTGTTGGATGGCAGTGTGCTGGCCAGCCCTGGTAATAGTGAAGTGGTGCTTGATCCTCCTAAAAATAATGTGTTTGGATAGGTGAAATCTCTGTGCTTTTCTCAAGATAAAAAGGAGTAGTGGAACGCATATGTCTTGCTTTACAATGATCTTGAACTTGGTTGTTTAACCAACATCAGTAAATCAGACCATAATTTGAAGGGGTTTTTTTTAGCCACACTTGTGTATTGTACCTCAGGTTTTTTGTTGCGATACCAAGAGAATAAAGCCCTATTGGTTAACGCCGGCTGTGCTGTGTTCAGTAAGGTGGCTGCAGTCTGCCTCTGTGCAAGCCCTGGTGACCGTGTCCTTGGTACTAGCTGTGCCCTGGCTGGGGCAGCGTCAGTCTCTAGTGGAGTAACGCTGTATATAGTGTAAGAAAAACCAAAGTTTTCAGTTAAACCTGGTGCCATTGCACCTCTGGGGTCCATCCTCGCCATCCATCGTGTCCCCTCGTTCAACCCCCAGGTCCCCAGCACTTATGCCGAGGTGACACCAGGTGGCAGCAAGTGACAAGCGTGGGGAGATGGTGCAGCACCCATGTTCCTGTTTTGTGTTCAGAGCTGGGTGCACTCGGGGTCAAATTATCTCCTTCCATAACTTGTCCAGACTTTGAAGTTTAAGGGCAAGTCACCCCTGAAAGGAGTTAAATCATTAACTTGTTTTGCAAGAGCCTGGATCTGGCCTGCAAGCAAACCCCTCTCTGTGCCTGGGGACACTGACACCAGCTCACAAAAGCTGATTCTGAGCTCTGGCTCACAGTGGGGATGAGGTGAGGGATCTGAAAGGAAAAAACTTGCGGGTGCTGGGCCAGAGCACCACTGCCAGGAGCAGTGTCAGTGCGTGCACCCTATACCTGGGGGGCTGGAGGAGATGGAGGTGAAGCGTGTGGGATCTCTGTCCCTCTAGAGAAGGGAAGTCAGACCTTCCATCCCACAGAGCTCAGGGGAGCCTGTGCAGCATACTCCCCTCCTCACCACATCTCTGCAGCACCCACTCCCCTGCTAGCACCTCCCATCCACACAAACAGAGTGCTGCGGCCAGGAGGGCTCTTGCTCATCTCCCAGGGGGGTTTGAGAGCTGCAGCCCTGGGCTGGGTTCGTGGGACACACGCCTGGCCACAGGCTACCTGGAACTGTGACCTGCCCCCCTGCTTGATGTGGGGTGTAGCTGCGTTTGCAGCCGAGCAGGCGGCTCTGGGTGGAGGCTCGTGGTGCTGGCACAGAGCACATGGGATCAACAGCCTCTTCCTGTTGTGCAACCGCAGCGCAGCCCACGTAGGGAATTTTTTGGAGATTTGTCAGGGCTTTTGTGTTTCCAGATAATATTTATTTGCTTGTTTCAGGTCTTCTTTCACAAGAGAAGGATTTAAATAGCACAGGCTGAGAGGGGACATGAACCTTGGTTGGTCTCCCCTGAAGAGTGTCCCACTGGGGGGTCCCCCTGCCTGCCCCAGCTCCTCCAGCTCTGCTCCCGGCCCCGCTGCCTCCGAAGCTGGGCTTCTGGCACAAAGATGATTTATGGTTTCGCCACAGCCCACTCGTGTCCTGCCCCAATGTGACAGTTCAACCGGGGCAGGAGCCTGCTCACCCATCCCTGGGCTTTGGGCACAGCCCCCCCTGCCCCAGGGACAACTGAGCTCACCCCACTTGTGTGCAGGACCTGGGTAGGCTCTGGGCTGAGGTTCTGCCAGTCAGGGCTGAGACATGAGTTCCCCTCTGCTCCGAAACCTGCCACTTCTCCCTTCCCTGCTCCCCAGCTCCAGCTTTGTCCTCTCCTAGTTGATCCTGGGGTGCACAGGGGGCAGCAGAGCTGTGTTCTCTAACCAGCGCCTTCTCACCAGACCCACATTTACTTGATGTCAGGAGTTTTGGCTGGTGGGGGGTGCTCTCCTGCACCCCTCCAGCCCCCCAACATGCCAGCGGTGCACCAGCAAAAGGCCCTCAGCTCATGCGAGTTGTCCAGCGCTGGGGCAGAAGTGAACAGATGGGGCAGGGAGGGAACAAGCACCCACAAACCCCTCTGCTTCGCCAGGCTGTTGATCCAGCACATCCCAGGGCCTCCGCGGCTGGAACCCGGGCACTGGAACCTGGGCACAGGAACCCAGCACTTGTCCCTGGACCTCGCCGCAGCCACGGGACATGGCTCCCGGTGGGTTTGCCTTTGGTGCCGGCCAAAAGAGCAGCTCAGGGCAGCTCCAGCATTCCTGGGTACAGTCCTGTGCCCAACCCTTCTCCCTGCGGACCAGGGGAGGCTGGCGTGTGACAGGGCACCCCGGGCTGGTGGCTGGCAGGCAGGGTGCGCAGGGAGACTGCTCTGAGACAGGGTATTGAAACCCACATTGGACCACAGCCACGTCCACAGGGCTCACACGGGGAGCTGAAGGGGGACTGGTGTGAGGAGCTGTCTCCCCTCCCTCCAAAGCTGTGGTTTCACTGGAGCATTTTGGAGGAGACCATGGTGGCTCCATGAGCTTTCCCGATGGGAAAAGTACTCCTGGCGCCTCTGGTTCGCTTTCTGCGGTGGCTCCTTGTGCTCCGTGTCTCATTACGGGTGAGTTGGTGTTTTGGTATTTTTAGATGCTGCTCAGCACACCACCACTTGGGACAGCGTAATTAAAGTGACTCTTCTGGCAGTGGGATGGTGCCAAGCTGGAAACCTCCTTCCTGCAGAGGGATGAATGGTGCTGGTGCTCCATCCCAGTGTCCCGGTGAGGGCATGGCCACACAGGAGGGACAGGGTCCCTCTGGATACTCACCAGCACTTCTGGGGCAGGGGCTCAGGGAGCACAGCCAGGGCGGGCTTCAGTGGTTTGGTTTCCTTTGAGACCTGCAAATACGGAGCCGTGGGCTCCTTGTGCTGCTGCTCTCCAAGAAGGTGGGAGCTGTAGAGCTTCTGGGCTGGCACGATGGGGACCAGCACATCAAGGCTTGTCCTGCTGCATCCTCTGTGCA